TTTAATGCATGTGTATGCTAGATATGCTGAGGGACAGCAGTCTGTCAATCTTTCCCACAAGGGAATGTGATAAACATTCTGTGTGTTTTTCCATTGGCACAGGAGCGTAGCAAGATGGTGTGACTTCTATGTGCTAATGAAGTTTGAAATAAAGAGCTACAAGACTACCAGACACACCACACACAAATGCACACATCCATGCACATACGCACACACCGATATATTACATCGATTGTGACAGAATCTGTTACTCAATCATAGACACACACCATAGATTGGTCAGCATCCCCATGCCGAGATCTCCTCACAGATCCAGGACACCAGACTCCTGTTTGACACACTTGAATGATCTCTCCTTGCAACCATTGATCTCCTGTGTACCCAGGCGCTATTCTACTGGAGGACAAGGTTAACTATTCTTCTTTTCCTCGTTCTGATTTCTATAGTATCACTCTCTTTCTGGGTCTCTCGTATGTCTCTCTTCTTTGTCCTCTCTCTCTCACCATTCATAACTGAAACGTTCATTGCTGCCAGCCACACACCCTCTCTGACCCCTTTCTTACCCTCTCATTTTTTTCCCCTATTCTCTCTTTCCACTGACACTCCTATACTCAGACTGTTCTTCTGTCAAACCCCCCACCCCCTCCCCCCTTTCCCCCTTTTTCACAACTGCATTCTTTCTCACTGTTTTCTCCCTTGTCCTCTCTGTTGTGTTAATTGACCTAGTGAAAATAATTTACCGAATACAAATTTATCTTGTTCTACAGTATGTTTATCTGCTCTGCTACTGTTATTATTATTATTATTGTTTAGTCTCCTAGTATTTATTTTATTTGTATTTTCAGTGTCTGTCTTTCTAGGGTAGTATGAGACACATAGTTATTCACCCTTTAACATAGAGATCTGTGTGTCCAGTACAGCACAGGTGTAGGTTTCTCTTTATTCTTGTGATCAGCAGTACAGCACAGATGTAAGTTTCTTTTTATTCTTGTGATCAGCAGTACAGCACATGTGTAGGTTTCTTTTTGTTCTTGTGATCAGCAGTACAGCACAGCTGTATTTTTCTCTTTATTCTTGTGATCAGCAGCACAACACAGCTGTAGGTTTCTCTTTTTTCTTGTAATCAGCAGTACAGCACAGGTGTAGGTTTCTTTTTATTCTTGTGATCAGCAGCACAACACAGGTGTAGGTTTCACTTTATTCTTGTGATCAGCAGTACAGCACAGGTGTAAGTTTCTCTTTGTTTTTGTGATCAGCAGTACAGCACAGATGTAGGTTTCTTTTTATTCCTGTGATCAGTAGTACAGCACAGCTGTAGGTTTCTCTTTGTTTTTGTGATCAGCAGTACAGCACAGGTGTGGGTTTCTCTTTATTCTTGTGATCAGCAGCACAGTTGTAACTTTCTATTTATCCTCGTGATCATCAGCACAGAGGTAGCGATCTCTGTATCCTTTGATCAAAAGCTTTCTCTTTATTCTTGTAAACAACAGCACAGGTGTAGTTTTGTATTTATTCTTGTTGTAATGATGTTATAAAAAAAGGATAATGTCAGGGTAGGACTGATTGACAGAACTGGGGAAGTACCTAGTGTGAGAATCAAGGGTTTCATCGGGAAATGGCTGACTGACAGAACTGGAAAAGTCCCTAGTGTGAGAAGCATGGGTTTCACAGCGAGATGGTGAAAAGATGGAATTGAGCGATTCAAATGTGAATGCGAGATCTGAGGGATTGCAGATGAGGTGGTCAGTCTGCAACTGGTCCCCAGAAAGTTTGGATGGAATTAGAGTGTTCAGAATGAAAGTGTGTTTGGCTTGAAATGAAGTGAGACTACGAAGCAAATGTGGTAATTCTACGTTGAAGAATATCTGAGGACAATAGCCAGGTCCGATTAACTATGGCTGGTATTGACTGCCTGAAGGTCAGCGACAATAGTGGCGTGACAGTGTGTCCAAACATGAGAGCTAATGATCCTTGAATTGATAACGTAAGTTAGATTGTCTGATGAACCCCTATTGTATATTTGAGAAGGAATAAACCTTGAATTAGTCAGCATCATCCTCGACTATCATTTGGAGTAGTGTGATTGTTGATGGAAGATAGTTTGCCTCGTCTGTTCTACATTAGTGAACCACAAGACAGCTATCTGGCCTGAATGATTACGCTTGGAAGCAAGTACAAGAGAGAGAGAGAGACCCAAGAAAATAAAGGAGACACTTCTTCATAGAAACATCTTCTTAATAGGAGGAGAGTGACTTCTTTACACTTGTGATCAGCAGCACAGCACAGATGTAGCTTTCTCTTTATTATTGTGATCAACAGCACATAAGTAACTTTCTTTTTATTCTTGTAATCAAAAGCACAGATCTAACTTTCTCTTTATTTTTGTGATCAACAGCACATAAGTAACTTTCTTTTTATTCTTGTAATCAAAAGCACAGATCTAACTTTCTCTTTATTTTTGTGATCAACAGCACATAAGTAACTTTCTTTTTATTCTTGTAATCAAAAGCACAGATGTAACTTTCTCTTTATTTTTGTGATCAACAGCACATAAGTAACTTTCTTTTTATTCTTGTAATCAAAAGCACATATGTAACTTTCTCTTAATTCTTGTAATCAACAGCACAGATGTAACTTTCTCTTTATTCTTGTGATCAACAGCACATAAGTAATTTTCTCCTAAATCTTGTAATCAGCAGCACAGAAATAACTTTCTCTTAATTCTTGTAATCAACAGCACAGATGTAACTTTCTCTTAATTCTTGTAATCAGCAGCACAGAAATAACTTTCTCCTAATTCTTGTGATCAACAGCACATAAGTAACTTTCTCTTAATTCTTATAATCAACAGCACAGAAATAACTTTCTCCTTATTCTTGTAATCAGCAGCATAGATGTAGCTTTCTCTTTATTCTTGTGATCAACAGCACATAAGTAACTTTCTCTTAATTCTTGTAATCAATAGCGCATAAGTAACTTTCTCTTAATTCTTGTAATCAATAGCGCATAAGTAACTTTCTCTTAATTCTTGTAATCAACAGCACAGATGTAATTTTCTCTTAATTCTTGTAATCAACAGCACATAAGTAAGTTTCTCTTAATTCTTATAATCAGCAGCACATAAGTAACTTTCTCTTAATTCTTGTAATCAACAGCACAGATGTAATTTTCTCTTAATTCTTGTAATCAACAGCACAGATGTAATTTTCTCTTAATTCTTGTAATCAACAGCACAGAAATAACTTTCTCTTAATTCTTATAATCAGCAGCACATAAAGGATTCAGTTTTCTCCTAATTCTCATGATCAACAGCATAGTGATAGTGACTCATCAACTGTTCAAGGTTAGGGAGCAAACAGAACCATCTGTGTATTGTTGCAAAAATCAATACTGCTCCATTCCCGTGTGAGTTCCGGGGCCCTATTATAGGGAAAACAAGAATAGACCCACTGCCTACCCAAAAGCATGTCATAAGAGTCGACTATTTAGGAGCTTCCTTCGAAGTCGGAGTGCATCTGCCTGAGAGGCAAAGAACCAGCAGTCTGCATTCAGATAAGTCAGATCTGTAAAACAGATGCAAACGCAACACTCAGGTTCTGGAACAGGACTGCAGTCCAGAAGTGGATGAACAACCAAAACTTTTGTAACAGAGTGGGTCATAGCTTGTTTGTTAGTAGGCACAAAGCTAGGATATAAGGAAATCAACAAGTTTTGGCAGCCTTGACATTCTTTTCTAGAAACTTCGTTTGTTATTAACAGAGAAATGTTTTGCAAATGAATAATCTATAAATAGTATTTGACGTCATTGTCTGGCCTTGGCCTTCTTTCTAGAAGTTTTGAAATGCATTCTTTTCATCATGTGACCCAACCCTGTCGTACTAGTAAATACTTTGTTGTCGTGCCCTATCAAAGCAAACGCAATTGCACTTGTTTTTCTAGAAGCTTCTATTGATGTCAGTTGTCAGTTTAACTGCCATATTTGTGTAGAATAGGATGATGAAATCTGATGCAATCAAGATATTTTTAGAAAATCCCACGTGAGAACCTACCTAGTAAACAAGTTGAGGTGTACTAGAATATTCTAGAAGCAGACAAAGCGAGAAGAAAACAAATATCTAGCATTCCAGCATCCAAGTATAAATAGCGATTAACAAAGCACTTTAGCAATTCTTCAGTCTACAAGACTCAAGAAAGGAGAGACCAGTCATGGACTCTCAATGCAGCCTTCAGTGGTAGAGATGTAAGCCCAACACTAGAAGCCTTCAGTCGTTGAGACTCAGAGGACGAGCGACTAGTCTCAATGATCCTTAATGCCAGTTCAACACTGGAAGCAGAGCAGCCGTTCATATTGAACCTTGAAGACAGTCACTAGAGAGCAGACATGAAACGAGACATCGAGCTACAGAGACGACACACAAGATACATGGATCCATGGTTAACAGAGACACATTAGGAACACTATAGAGATGTTAGAGTCAACGCTCAAGACGTTAGTACCAAACAGCACTAGAAGCCAGGTGGCAGTTAGAGACACTAGAACCAGTTAACAAAGGAACTAGAGATGAAGAACACAACTCGAACCTACGAGTATTTAGCCATACAGTGAACACAGCGCTATTTAGAATATCATTGAAGTATTTGTGACATTGTTGAAGTATCACAATAAAGGCAGTGTAGACGAGAACTGTTGTTTTCAGACACCTTATTATACAAGCATCTGAGTTACGTGAGAAGCATGCAGCAAGCAAGACATCATCATCATCATCGCCACTATCGACACGACCATCTTTCTCCTCGTCTATAATCTTCCAATCGACTCCTCCTGTAGCAAACCTAAAGACGAACCTGGGTGTAACAAGAATATACGCAACGAAGAAGAGAGCTGTGCTACACTTTCTGTCAGAGCTTACAGCTGGTTAACACAAAAAAAGAAGAAGAATACTGCTTCAGATCTGAGGCTTGACTTTGTGTTCTAGGTCCTGGATGCCGCAGCCACAATAATGAAACAGATGCCTGACAATATGGACTATGAGGGAACAGCAAAGATTCTCTCTCAAGATCCATCACCTCTGAACAGTGTCCTGTTGCAAGAGGTAAGCATTTCATTTGACCAGTGTCCTTTTGCAAGAGGTGAGCATTTCATTTGACCAATCTGTATGTTTTTTCTTTTACTGAATTATGTGGTTTTAATTCCTCTGAAAAGTTTAGATTTATTTCTCAAGTCAGCACATAGCATCCCGGTTTACTACTGGTCACTAGGGCAGATAGGCAGGTTTACTGATTTTAGAAGTGGCAAGCGTTTGCTTTCACCAATAGTTAGCCCATGCATTTTCCTACTTATGTAGACTGGAATTATATAGTCCAGTTGCTTAGCTATTGAGAGTATATCATGACAACTAGCTGAGGGTTTCATTTGGAATGCTTTTCAGCTGTGCCTCACATTATTTGTGTTGTGGACTACAGGTTCAGAAAGTGGCTGGTGGCCTGTTGCTACAGTACTGGTGTTGCCTTATGTGGTTAACTGTATATGCAATTACTGAACTGTCAAAACTGCTGCTTTCATTGATGATAAACTGCATTTCTTGTATCAGATTGTTGTGTTGTCACCTCTGATGACTGTCTTATGCATTCTGCATTTAGTGAATGTACTTGCTATTTGCTTTCCTGAGACTGCAGTTTGTGTCAATTTTTTCAGAAGAGACAGTGGTGGATTTTCTCTGTGTGGCTTTTGTTGGCTCAAGAATGGAGCAATTATGGGGTGTGAAACTGGGTTTACCTTATCTTACCCTAAGAATTAGGTTGTTTAACCCTTGGAAAAAGTAGGCATCTGTTCATCCTTATTTCTTTTTACACCTAGTGGAACATTAGGCTTCAGAAAAGACTTTCCTCTCCTGTGCAATCTTCAGTGCATTGTTCCATGTCAGAGATGTCGCATTCAGTTTACTTTCCATTGTTGTGTTTTTGGGTTCTTTCTCTTTTCCTCTGATGTCCAAGTGAGAGCTGTTTTGACAGGTATATCAGGATTCTTTCTCATGATGTGGCCAAGCCATTTTCATGTTCTCTTGGTTATCATACTGTCTAGAGTTTCTTGGTTTGTGATTTGAAGTAGTTTACTGTTTAAGATTGTATCTGGCCAGAAAATTTTGATAATTCTACGTTGACATGTGTGGTGCAAGACGGATAGCTTGTGCACATCTTTTTTTTTTTGTTGGCAGGGGGGGGGGGGGGGCATTCTCCGGCGTTCTGCTCCTTAAAGAAGAACTGGTAAAATGATGCTCTTGTAGATTCTAGAGTTTTGTTCCTCTGCAGTAACTGTTGGATTTCCAGAATTGCTTCATCCCTCCAAAAGTGGTTCTAGGTTTGTTGAGTGTGATTGTATGTCTTCCTCTGTCCCTCCCAGTAGGGACACCACACTGCCAAGATATGTGAGCTGTTTTACATTTTCAAGTGTTTGGTTATTTATGGTCACTGCTTGTTGGTTTGGACTGTTTGTCATGATCTTAGTTTTCCTTGTCTGTATTCTCAGTCTCACAATTTCAGCTGTGCTGTGTAGTCTGCTACTTTTCTCTTGTTTATCTTGATGTTTATGTGATAGGAGAGCTATATCATCTGCAAAATAAAAGTCCTCTAGCACACTGAATGGAGTGCATCGTATGCCTCTCGATGTCTTGTCTACTGTGTTCTTTAGTATCCAGTCAGTCACAAGGTTAAAAAGGAGGAATGATATGAAACACCCTGTCTTACACCTCTCTTTACTGAGAAAGATGTGTTGTAAATTGTTTATACTGCAGGAAAAGTCTTCATAGAAGAGAACAATTATGTTGAGTATATTTTCTGTGATTCCATAATATTGGATTATTTTCTAGAAACTCTATGGACACTGTCAAAAGTTTTCTCATAGTCCACAAAATTAATATATACATATACTTCTTTGTCATTCATTGCGTTGAGTAGGGTGAAGATGTGCTCAGCTGTTACTCTGTCTTACTCCTGCTTGTTCCACTTGTAGGCATTTATCTGCTCCCTTTTTGAGCTGCATTATGATGATTTTTTCAAAAATAAAAATTTGCTTGGTACTGAGAGTAGAGTAATTCCCCTCCAGTTATTGCAGTCTGTTAAAAATCACCTTTATGGGGGGGGATTAGGATTATTGTTCCTTTAGTACAGTCATCAGGAAACACTTCTTTCTCCCAAATATCTATGAACAATGGTTCTAGAATGATGGCAGTTGTGTTAGGATCTACTTTTAGAAGTTCTGTTGGCAGTTCATCTTCAGGTTATCTGGATATATCTTCAGGTCATCATCATCATCATCATAAACCACTTCTGCCATTAAGTGTTGTGGGAAGGAATAATTTGCGATTCAGTGCACGTTGGGTGCTACTGGCTATTGTCATGCGGTAAAGACATAGAGTGTCTTTAGTGTTGTTGATCCTCTTGCTCTTTTAGCTGATCTTCTGAGATGTAGTGCTTATGATGGCCAAACGACTTGATCTGCTGTTTCTCGATGAATCTAGTACAAGGTGTTGTTCCCACAATTTGCATGATAGTTTCATTATTCACTCGATCTTGAATGGTGCGTATACTGTTTAAATATCTAGGAAGAAGGATCACGGAAGATGGTAGAATTGACAGAGAAATAGAAACCAAATGTCAGAAAGCAAGTGCACTTATATTCCAAATGTCACCATTATTAAGACATCTAAACATAACTATGACTGCAGAGAGACGGATTATTAATAGTATATTCATTCCAACGTTAAGCTACCAATGCCAAACATGGACACCATCTTTCCATAACAGTACTATTAGTGCCTGTTGCCACGCAGCTGGGACTTTTATTTCTTCCCAAGCTATATTAAAAATTCTAGTAAGCCATTTAACACCCACTTCTCTGCAAGCTTGGATCCAGACCTGGTGCTTTGTTTCTGGGGCTGTTCTGTAAGACTGCTCTTGCTTCTGCTGCTATGAAATTTGGTTCCTCGTGTTCGCAGCTTTGCGGTACAAAGTAAAGATTATCTACATTGGTTGAGAAGTTCCTAAAAATACTGTGCCCATCTGGCCAACCTCTGTTGTGGACTAAATAGATGTATCATAAAGTCCCAGTGTGCATATTTAAATTTTAGGTATGTCTTAAAGTACCTATTTTTTAGAATTTCTGAGTATATATTCTAAAACATGTGTAAATGTATGTATCTTTTAGTACCTGTATGAACTTATGTATTTTCAATATGTGTTAGAATCTATATATCTTAAATACATGTGAGAAGTTGTTTAGTTCAAATACCTGTGTGAATTTGTGCAGCTTCAAGTACATGTGTGAATTTCTCTATTGTCAGATACTTGTGGGAACTTATGTATCTTCATTTGTATGTATGAATTTGTGTATCTTCAATACCTGTGGGAATATTCATTCATTATCCTGCTGTTTCACTATATGTCACATAGGGCTCACAGTCTATCCCTACCTTCCATTCTATCCTGTGCAGTCAGTGGGAACATGCATCTTTAAAATCTGTGTCAGTTTTTGCATTGTCAGATACTTGTGTGAATTTGTATATCCTGCTGTGTTCATTTATGCATATCCAAACATCTGTATGAATGTGCATATCATCAAACATCTATGTATTTTTTTTGGGGGGGAGGGGGGGGGGGTCTTCTCAATGCTCAATCTTTGAAGGCCCAAGTGGCTGGGTCACACCTGAAGAATGGAGGATGGCAGAGTCCCTGAGGACATTCTCTATGGTGAATTAAAGACGGGTAGAAGATGTTGAAGCTGACCTCTAGTATGATATAAAGATGTGTGCAAGCAGGACATGGATGGTGAAGGTATTAGGGTGGACTCATGGGAACAAAGTACCATGAATCATGTTGTGTGGTGGGAGCACATCAGGAATGGAACGAGAATGAAGGAAGAAATGATTGCAGAGGAATGAGAGCTGAGCATTTGAGAAGAAGCAGACTAAACACAAATGTTGACAACAACGGTACTATAATTTCATGCTTTAATTGTGGAAGACTTTTAACGCAGGCCGGTCATGCTAGTCAAACTCGCCATCGCCATGGGCTATGAGCCTCCTCCTCATAGCACAATATGACACTAGCGTCTGGAAAGATGGAAAGGTACCATTCATATACCTTTCATGTAAAAAGTTTATCTCTAGTGTTGAAGTGGCAGCATTCTGACCTCTCCAGGCCTCTGCTTACTAAATCAGCATGATATAACTATTGCTATTGTGAACATCCATCTCCACACAGATGCAGCGTTACAATTTACTTCTGGATCAGATCCGAGATTCTCTGCTTTCATTAGAGCGAGGGATTCAAGGCCTGACTGTCATGACACTAGACCTGGAGATTATCTTTACATGCATTCTTGATGGGCGGGTCCCACCGCTCTGGGGAAAGGTAAGGGATCCATCAGGTTTTATAGGGAGATTGTGTTGCATTGATTTGAACACAGTGTGAGAGTCGACCATTGAGATAGCAATGGCAAACTACTCAGCATAACATTGTCTAGTAAAACCACACAATATTTAACAGAAGCAGGGGTTGGGTTTGTGATGTCCTGTAAAATATATTCAACTAATTGTTTTTTGGGAAAGTGTGCAGTTTTAATAATTCTATTCTTCTTTTTCTTCTTCTTCTTCTTTGTGTTCAAGGGCTGTAAACTCTGACAGAAAGTTCTGTTTGTCTGCCCACTTCTGGACTTTAGTCCTGTTCCTGAACGTAGCTTGAGTCTTGTATGTACATCCATTTTATAGATCTAGCTTATTTGTAAACAGACTGTGGGTTCCTTGCCTCTCAGACAGAGGCACTCTAACTTTGAAGGAAACCCCTGATTAGTCAATTCCTACGTTATGCTTATTGGCGAGGTAGTGGGTCTTTTCTTGTTTTCAATCACAGTGGGGCCCCAGAACCCACACGGGATTAATTTATTATAGCTTAATAAAAACTGATCCTGCATTTCTATGTGTTTCAAAATAAATACAATTTGTAAATCAAATGATATATGTTTACGAAATGGTATACATCCAAAATACAACATCATCATCATGTGCCCTATCAGCTAGCATAGGTGCTCATGCGTCTCCACAGATCACGATCCCTGGTTGACTGGAACAGCTCCTTTGATGATATCCCTCCATGCCAACATTTTAGCCCATCCAGCATCATCTCTTTAGGTGTGCCTCTACCCCTTTTTCCACTGATCTTTCCAGTTGTCTCCATGTTCTCCAGTGTCTCTCTTCTCATTATGTGGCCAAAGAACAGTGTTTGTCTCTTTCTTATGGCTGTATTTAGAGATCTACTTTTATTAGCCTCGTTCAAGCAATCATTGTTAGTTACTCTGACCGTCCAAGGTATTCCAAAATACAATGGATATTTATATATCCCAGTTATAACCCTGAATGCTGAACAAGATATTGTTTATGTAAATGTTACTACTACTACAATGTGTTTGCTTTTTTACAAATAAACAATTTATAATGACATATTCTGCTTTTATTAGGGTGGAAGTGGTAACATATACTGTGGTACCTCCAGACATGAACGCCTCTAGTCACAAACAAATTAGCCTATTAATATAATTTGCCATCAAATTTTGACTCGAACCGCAAACAATGTCTCAACCCACAAACACACAAATATAGCTTTAGCACCATTTTTCAGCTAACGAATAGTATCAGTTGTACTCATTTTGCATGCTGTGGACATTGTTTATCATTGCTTTGTTCCTGGTACAGTTTTTTACCCTGTTCAATAACCCTCATTGTAGCTCTAAGATAGGGAAAAGTTTTAGTGACACTGGTGTAAAGATGCCTGAGCGTATTACAGAAGAGATGAAAAAGGAAATAATAACTAAACATGAGAATGATGTTTGTTTCTGATCTTGCCAAGCAGTACAACATGGCTAAATCTACAATCTATACAATTTTAAAGAAAAATGTTGTGCTACATACGGCTGATGTGACTAAAGGAGTGACTGAGTTAACGATACAAAGTCTCAAGTTTTTGAAGAAATAGAACAATTATTGTTAGCTACCGAGCCAGTAATGGAACCACTTCTTCTCTCAAAGTCGAAGTACATCTGCCCGTGAGGCAGGGAACGGCAAACAAGCCAGTAAAACGGATGCACGTGCAAAACTCAGGTCCTGGTAAAAACTAAAATTCCAAATAGACGAACTGCCAGACCTTCTGCCGGAATTCGCAGCCGGTGGACGAAGAAGAACCACTTCTCAGGATACAAACAAGTGTAAATACACCAGAAATACCTTCACAGTTGCCTGACGTTATTATGAAATGGGACTCTTCTTCAAATAAGTCCCTTTCTCCCCTTCCATCTACATGTGCAAGCAGTTATCAACCACAAAGGTTAAGTTATACTGAATACTTTATATTTTTGTCACTCATAAATCCATTATAAAAGTCACGAAACAGTATTTTTATCCGGCGGTCGACTTTTGTATTGATTTCAATGGGAAAAAATTGTTTCAGCTCGCGAGCATATCAGTTTGTGAGCGCAGTCGAAGAACGAATTTTGTGACCCTAGTACCACTGTACTTATACAGTAAGGATTATATTCTCTGAGTGACAAGGACACACGTTTGCAGTGAAAATACAGACAACAGAGTCCGGCTGCTGTGGAAGCCTTGATTTTTGAGAATGCTCTAAAGGGTGATGCTGTCATTTACACAAATGGGTTTGTAATCGGCCATGTTAGAAGCTCGTGGGCTTCTACGGCTCATTTTGGAGGGAGAGTTGTGAAGGAAGATTCTGGAGCTTTTGCAGTAACTACAAGCAGTCTGACTATGGAGGTCATGGCTGTGACTAAAGCAGTAACATGGCTAGAACACAAAACTTTCATCAGGGTATGCTTTTTCAGTGACTCATTGAGTATGCTCAGGAAGATAGAGAAGGGCTAAGTCTAAAGGCAGTGGTTGGTGGCTCTACAGCATTCACGGCTGACAAGGATTAGTTTCATTTTCATGCCAGGACATGCAGAGGCACAAGGAAATCAGCAAGCTGATAGACTTGCAGGTAAGGCTACTGGGAAAGCCGGACAAGCCATGGACAAGGCTGATATACTGAATGCTCTAAGTTATTTAAGATGTTTGCATGAATCAATTGAGAACTGTGAATCTGCAACCATAGTCAGACTGCAAGAACAGCAAGTTAAACGGCGTGTCGCCAAATTAGAATACTACGCGGGTAGCCAAAGAAGAAGAATAAACCAACACGGAACTAGTGTTGTCAGCCGCTAAACGCTGTGGGATTTACTGAGGAGGGGATTCGAGCACTTATGGACTGAGTGGTTCGACGTGCAATGAAGATAATCTGTCGACTAACTAACTAACTAACTAATATGTTTGCACAAACTACATTTACAGACATACCCATCAGCCAAACCTCTAGCAGCATGGGCCAAGGATCTGGTGAACAGAGTGGATTTGTTTGACAAATGGGCAGCAAGTGCTCGGCCACCGTGGGTCTTCTGGTTGTCTGCCTTCACATTTCCATCAGGATTTCTTACAGCAGTTCTGCAAATGGCGGCTCGCCAGCACCAGGTCAGACTGTGTCCTTATGTGCATACTTTAGACATGATTGGGTTTGTCTCACTGTGTTTGATCTTGATATGATTGGGTTTGTCTCACTGTTTGATCTAGACCTGACTGGGTTTGTCTTACTGTTTGATCTAGACCTGACTGGGTTTGTCTCACTGTTTGATCTAGACTTGATTGGGTTTATCTCACTGTTTGAGCTAGGCCTGATTGGGTTTGTCTCACTGTTTGATCTAGACCTGACTGGGTTTGTCTTACTGTTTGATCTAGACCTGACTGGGTTTGTCTCACTGTTTGATCTAGACTTGATTGGGTTTATCTCACTGTTTGAGCTAGGCCTGATTGGGTTTGTCTCACTGTTTGATCTAGGCCTGATTGGGTTTATCTCACTGTTTGATCTAGGCCTGATTGGGTTTGTCTCACTGTTTGATCTAGGCCTGATTGGGTTTATCTCACTGTTTGATCTAGGCCTGATTGGGTTTGTCTCACTGTTTGATCTAGACTTGATTGGGTTTATCTCACTGTTTGATCTAGGCCTGATTGGGTTTATCTCACTGTTTGATCTAGGCCTGATTGGGTTTGTCTCACTGTTTGATCTAGGCCTGATTGGGTTTATTTCACTGTTTGAGCTAGGCCTGATTGGGTTTGTCTCACTGTTTGATCTAGACCTGACTGGATTTGTCTCACTGTTTGACAATATAATTTGGGCACCTTTCACCTGGTATACCCTCTAGTCAAGTGCCGATAAGGATATGAGTTACCTGTCAGCAAGGGTATGATAACTTGGCATCTATATTCAATTATGAATAGAGGGTTAAAAAAAAGAAGAGTTTTGAGTATGTATGTGAATATAGAGATTTTAACTAGTTGCGTGTCATCTCATTCCACAGGTGTCAGTGGACTCCCTCACTTGGGAATTTATAGTGCAGGCTGTGGATGATAGTAATCTGACAGGGCCTGCAAAGGTAGGCTATAGTTTTTTTTTGTTTTTTTTTTTTGAGGATCTTCATTTACGTTTTATTTTTTTTTTTTTTTTTTATTTATTTTTTATTGTCAATTGTATCTCATTGATATGGACAAGAGATAAGTCAAAAAGAAAGGGAGAGCACCATGACCAGAGAGTATCTAATTACTGAGTGAAAGATTTTGAAATATTGATCATATATCATTAAATTCATTAAAAAGCACAGACTGACATGGTTTGGTCACCTGGTGAGATGGAATCCGATGATGCCAGCAGCAAGAGCATACAGTATGAAAATAAAAATGCTCAGTGGCAAAAGGGGACCTAGAAGAAGAGGGATCAGAGGAGTCGTTGACATCCTAAGACTTCACATAGTGGCATACCCAGCAGTCAAGCAGGCCCTGCTTGGCTATCTATCCTCTTTTAAAATGTGATGTTTAGCAATACAGAACAGACAGTGACAAAACAAGAAGAAGAGAAAGTCATATTATTTGTAAATTAAACCAACATAGCAACACATTCTTTATCAGGCGCTGGTCTGGTCTGTCTGGTCTGGACCAAACACTGACAGTCATAACTCTTCAATCCTGTGACATATGATATATATAACTCTTTGAGTTCCAGAACAACCAGATGGACAATCCTTAAGTCACAGTAGTCTCAGTCATAATAAACAACGTTTGAGAGCATTATTGAGACAAATGCAGCAGCACAAATAATGAGTATGAAAGTAATTAGCCAGGTTTTTATAGTTAAATAAGCCTAAACTGTAAACAACATCATTCATGGTTTGGACTACAGGGTGCAGCAGGATATTACTTGGTGTAGCCTTTAAGGGCACCTTAATTCCCTAATTATAATTTCCTAGTTCCTCGGAGGTTGGCCAGTGCATCGGAGATTTTCCCTCATGGTTTCCTCTATATTGGGGTTGCAGGGTTGGTGAAACTATCAGTTAGCAGACTGGGGGAGGGGAGGGGGACAGTCAGTCAATCAGTCCCTATTTAACTGGTCTGGCATTTTTTTTTTTTTACATACTTTTTAATATACCTATTTCTTCCCTTGTGGGTTCCGATGCCCCATTGTGGGGGAAGGGGAGGGGAATAGATCCACTGCCCTATAACAAGCATGTCATAAGGGGTTGACTAATTAGGGGTGTCTTCTTAGAAGTCAGAATGCATCTGCCTGTGAGGCAAGTAGCCAACAGTCTGCATGCAAATCTGTAAAATGATATGCAGGCAAAACTCAAGTTGTTGAACAAGACTAAATTTAAGAAGTGGATGAACAGCCAGAACTTTCCACTGGAGTTTACAGCCAGTGAACTCACACAAAAAACAGTAGAATACATCCATTCCGTCCCTTCTGTGGATATCATCACTATCATCCTATGCCTTGTCTGAGGGTATATGCATTCAAATGCCAGGCCACAGATCCACCTTTGGTGTTTTAGATGAATTCTACTGATGATCCCCCCCCCCCCCCCCCAGCCTGTGGCCTTAAACTACTCAAGAAAGAGCATTTCTCTTTGTCTTCTGCCCTATCAACTCATGCCAGGCTGTCTCTTCTTCTTCTGCCATCTACCCCCGATAGAGCATATTCTCTCAACCAGCTCATGCCAAGTCATTCTATACTTCACTGTTGCTCCATGTCCTCCTTTTAACTGCACTCTCTAGCGCCCATCTTCATATGTTTTTTGGTCTGCCTTTATTTCTGTGCCCCTGGAGGTTTCCAGTGCAAAGACATTCTAGTTATATTGTTCTCAAGTTTTCTCAAAGTATCTCCTATCCAGCACCTGCGTCTTTTATTCACCTGATGGTCCACTGGAACTTGTTTAGTTCTCTCACAAAGCATTAGTGATCCTATCATTACCATCTAATTCCCTCTTTTCTGTGCAGGCACCAGTTAATGAGGGAGTGTAGTTTAGTTTATTAGTAAGGCTGTCTCAACCTTTATTTCTTATTGCTCATTCTAAAGGTAAGTAGAGAACCCTTTTTATACCACTGGCCTATCGGGTATAGGATGCTAGATTCATATTTTTATAGACCAATCAGCCTTGAGGGTTGATGTGGTCAGCATCATGACAGCCACCTTTACTTCCCAGGACATTGCCTGGTACTTATTTTAGGCTGGGTTGACTTAAAAGAACTCACACTGTTTCTGATTTCATCTTCATCTTTAATTCTTCTTTTCATGTGTGTTCCCACTACAGGGTCCCCTTAACCTATGACTGAGTTGTGTTCTGATTAACACGTCGTAAGTCAAGTTTATATTTTTTTTAACCTATTTTCATTGAAATGGGTTATAAAATTTGTACATAAAGCAGAAAAATTCTATTTACATATATATTATTGTGCATAATGTGAAAAATTCACATAATATGAACTCCATTCATCAGTTTTATATACTTTTTTTTTCAACACCACCAGTACAGTTATCTTTCTTTCTTCATTATTAGTATTGCTTTTTTTTTTTTTTTTTTTGTCCTAAGTGCGAATGGTCATAAATTGAATAGAAGGTGTTTTTCCTGTCTTTCTTATAACCTGTGGGTTCCAGTGCAAAAGCATTCTAGCAAAACCTTTGTGAGCTTTTCCATGATCACCTTCTTACTCTTGTATACTTCCACAGGATGGTGTTTATGTGAAGGGCTTTTTCCTGGAAGGTGCCGGATGGGACAAGAAAAGTGCAGTACTAATCGAGGCCAGTTCAGTTCAACTTGTGGTAGCTATGCCAACAATCCAGTTTAAACCTGTAGAGAGTAGGAAAAAAGGTAAAGAAGTTTGACTTTATGGAGATGAGGGAGGTCAAGTGAAAAAAAAATAACAAACTGGACCGGGTTTCATCCAGTTTCTTTATCGAACGAGAAACTATCTGTTAAAGTATCATCTCCTCGCTGTTTATCTTCTCATGTATTTTATCCCATTCTGTCATTTATTTTTCATTTTGTTTCAGTTGGTTACATGATATTTGAATACTGTAATGTGGTCATTTTAGAGTCAGTTCATTTGTTCTGTTGTTGTTTCGTTTTTTTTTTTTTTTTTCTTTCTGCTGAAGAAGGCTGTCTTGAAAACAAAAAAGGGAAAAGGAAAGAAGAAAAACAGTCACCCCTATTTCAATCTGATGAAGGCTTACTGCTGCAACTTTATTTGTTTGATTTTTGTTATTGGTTTTGTAAAACTGGCATATACTTTCTATTTTCTGGGGGTTTTTTTTAAATGTCTTATTTTTAGACCCCCAATATTGGATCACATTATCCTTGTGTAAGTTTTCATGTCCCATTGAAAACAAGAATAGACCCAATACCTCCATAACAAGCATGTCATAAGAGTCAACTAATCATTCAGAGTCAGAGTGCATATGCTTGAGAGCAAAGAATCAACAGTCTGCATACACACACAAATAAGCCGGATCTGTCAAACGGGTGTGCATACAAAACTCAAGTTTTGGAACAAGACTTAGACCTATAAGTGGACAAACAACCAGAACTTTCTGCCGTAGCTTACAGCAAGTGAACGTAAAGAACAATCACACTAAAAACATTTCAGCTCACTTTCAAGCAACTCAGCATGTTTATGCTGGGTTCACCTGACATTTTATATCCAACTACCGTACCATCGTATTAATAAGTCAAACTAGCAAAATCCTCTTACAAATTATCATGAAGAGGATTGAAAGGAAATTACAACATGAGCTACATGAAGCACAAGCGGGTTTCAGACAGTGTAGAGGAACTAGAATATGAAAATAATTTTTGAAAAATGTAGAGAATATAACGTAGATCTTCATGCTTGTTTCATTAATTATAGCAAGGCATTTGATTGTGTCCAACATCAGAAACTGGACTATTGTTAGAACTATGGGGTTTCCAGCACATTTGGTGCATTTAATTGAAAATCTTGATCATGAACAACAAGCAGCCATCAGTTCAGCTGGTGAAACTTTGGATTGGTTCAAGATGCAAAAAAGAGAGAGGCAGGGGTGCATTCTTTCACCATACCTATTCAATATATACGCAGAAAATATAATGAGAAATGTAAAAAATGACCAGATTTGTGACAGTTATGATTCGCTCAAAATTGGTGGCAACCCTATTCTGGAACTTTGCTAGGCAGATGACAGTCCACTTTGCGAACAGTGTAAAGGGAATAGAAAATTAAATATTGTCTGCCTAAAAGCACATTGAAGATCAAAATCTGTTCTTGAATTTAAAGAAAACGAAAATAATGTCCACAGATAAAACTGGCTGACACCCAAAAATAACAATAAATGATGATGAAATTGAAAATGTCACAAACTTTTAACATCTAGGCTCTATAATAAATAGCAATGGAGACTGTCTGACAGAAATTAAAAGGAGGATGGCCATAGCAATGCAAAGATTAAACAGCCTAAAAAGTCTATTGTTAAGCACTAGCAAAGATCAAAATTAGAATTTTGAGAGCATGCATCTTTCCTGCAGCAATGTCTGGATGTGAGTCGTGGACTATCTCCCAGTCCTTAAGAAATAGAATAGGAGCTTTTGAACTGAGCATTTAATGTTGTATAATAACAGTAGTAAATCTGCTGTTTTCCATATCACAGCTCGATTCTGCTGGTTAATTGCTAACAGTATTAGGATGAGGCACTTGAGAATCAGGAAACGACATCATAAATTGTTGAACAACCCACATTCAAATATCTGCCATCATTAAGGAACACATGCTCAACTGCAAATACTCTTTCTTCAATAGTTAACACCATTAAAGCTAAGATCAATCACTAAAACACCTGTACATAGCACTGATATTCCAAACAAATGGTTACGTGACGCTTCAGACGTGGTGTAACAAACATATTTAGTTACTGTGAGCAAATAATTGATTCAAGAAATCTACAGTAATTAAACATAGACCCTGTATAATTAGCATATCTGTTACAGAAATAATATGTGTGTAACTGTTTGTGTCTCTTCCAAATCACCAGGAACTCGAAGGAAGAAAGAGAGTAAATGTTTCAGTGCAGTTGTGTTATGTTTTAGTTGTTGTATTTTTGCAAGTTTGTCATTGTATGTTTGAACATTTGTAGTTAACTTGTTATTTAATGTACATTTGTATTATTTTAGGAGAAAAACATTACACAGTTATGTTGCAGTCCCCGTGTGGGTTCCAGAACCTGATTGTGGAGGGAAAAAGAATACACCCACGGCCTTCCTAACAAGCATGTCGTAAGAATTGATGAATTAGGTGTTTCTTTTGAAGCCCGAGTGCACCTGTCTAAGAAGCAAGGAAGCAACAGCCTGCATACAAATAAATCAGATTTGTAAATACATATGCGCATGCAAAACTGAAGATCTGGAACAAGACTGTGAAGTCCAGAAGTGGAAGGACAACCAGAACTTTCTGTCTGAGTTTACAGCTGGTGAATGCGAAGAAGTTTTGCTGTACTTTTTAATTTGTTTGTGGGATTCTGAGAATGGCCTGCTGGTGCTGATAGCTTTGTCATGTGATACACACAGCCACAGAAGTCATCACTGTGGTGGGCCTTTTACTTAAAGCTCACTTAACATGGTTAGCTGCGGCTACGGTTTAATACTGTGACAAAGCCGAAATAGAATTTATGAAATCGTTAGCATGAGCAAATTGAAAACCTTTTTTACTCAAATATCCATATATAAGTAACTTAATTTAACAGACTGCGCAGCTCTATGGCAGTTTGGATATAACAGAAATTGGATGGAGTGAGGTGCACCAATTATAATTTCTTTTTGAACATGGAAAAAAGGTTCGGCCAAGGTATCTGAGGTTTTGCCATCTAGATTAGGATTCTCAGTTCTTAAGGGTAATTACATTTTGAGGTAGCAGCCCAGAGAGAGAAAAGCACAATGTTGAGTTGAGCAAGTAGAAGATTATAACAGTGTTTATTCTTAGAGTACCATGGACCAACACGAAGAAAAACACTGACATCCTACATGAACTGAGTATCAAGGAGAATTAGCTCATTAGACACACATTCTACATGAACTGAGTATCAAGGAGAATTAGCTCATTAGACACACATTCTACATGAACTGAGTATCAAGGAGAATTAGCTCATTAGACACACATTGTACATGAACTGAGTATCAAGGAGAATTAGCTCATTAGACACACATTCTACATGAACTGAGTATCAAGGAGAATTAGCTCATTAGACACACATTGTACATGAACTGAGTATCAAGGAGAATTAGCTCATTAGACACATCCTACATGAACTGAGTATCAAGGAGAATTAGCTCATTAGACACATCCTACATGAACTGAGTATCAAGGAGAATTAGCTCATTAGACACACATTGTACATGAACTGAGTATCAAGGAGAATTAGCTCATTAGACACACATTGTACATGAACTGAGTATCAAGGAGAATTAGCTCATTAGACACATCCTACATGAACTGAGTATCAAGGAGAATTAGCTCATTAGACACATCCTACATGAACTGAGTATCAAGGAGAATTAGCTCATTACACACATCCTACATGAACTGAGTATCAAGGAGAATTAGCTCATTAAACACATCCTACATGAACTGAGAATCAAGGAGAATTAGCTCATTACACACATCCTACATGAACTGAGTATCAAGGAGAATTAGCTCATTAGACACATCCTACATGAACTGAGTATCAAGGAGAATTAGCTCATTAGACACATTGTACATGAACTGAGTATCAAGGAGAATTAGCTCATTAGACACATCCTACATGAACTGAGTATCAAGGAGAATTAGCTCATTACACACATTCTACATGAACTGAGAATCAAGGAGAATTAGCTCATTATGCACATCCTACATGAACTGAGTATCAAGGAGAATTAGCTCATTAGACACACATTCTACATGAACTGAGTATCAAGGAGAATTAGCTCATTAGACACACATTCTACATGAACTGAGTATCAAGGAGAATTAGCTCATTAGACACATCCTACATGAACTGAGTATCAAGGAGAATTAGCTCATTAGACACACATTCTACATGAACTGAGTATCAAGGAGAATTAGCTCATTAGACACACATTCTACATGAACTGAGTATCAAGGAGAATTAGCTCATTACACACATCCTACATGAACTGAGTATCAAGGAGAATTAGCTCATTAAACACATCCTACATGAACTGAGTATCAAGGAGAATTAGCTCATTAGACACACATTCTACATGAACTGAGTATCAAGGAGAATTAGCTCATAAGACACACATCCTACATGAACTGAGTATCAAGGAGAATTAGCTCATTACACACATTCTACATGAACTGAGTATCAAGGAGAATTAGCTCATTAGACACACATTCTACATGAACTGAGTATCAAGGAGAATTAGCTCATTAGACACACATCCTACATGAACTGAGTATCAAGGAGAATTAGCTCATTACACACATTCTACATGAACTGAGTATCAAGGAGAATTAGCTCATTACACACATTCTACATGAACTGAGTATCAAGGAGAATTAGCTCATTACACACATTCTACATGAACTGAGTATCAAGGAGAATTAGCTCATTACACACATTCTACATGAACTGAGTATCAAGGAGAATTAGCTCATTAGACACACATCCTACATGAACTGAGTATCAAGGAGAATTAGCTCATTACACACATCCTACATGAACTGAGTATCAAGGAGAATTAGCTCATTAGACACACATTCTACATGAACTGAGTATCAAGGAGAATTAGCTCATTAGACACACATCCTACATGAACTGAGTATCAAGGAGAATTAGCTCATTACACACATCCTACATGAACTGAGTATCAAGGAGAAATAGCTCATTACACACATCCTACATGAACTGAGTATAAAGAAGAATTAGCTCATTAGACACACATTCTACATGAACTGAGTATCAAGGAGAATTAGCTCATTAGACACACATTCTACATGAACTGAGTATCAAGGAGAATTAGCTCATTAGACACACATTCTACATGAACTGAGTATCAAGGAGAATTAGCTCATTAGACACACATTCTACATGAACTGAGTATCAAGGAGAATTAGCTCATTAGACACACATTGTACATGAACTGAGTATCAAGGAGAATTAGCTCATTACACACATTGTACATGAACTGAGTATCAAGGAGAATTAGCTCATTACACACATTGTACATGAACTGAGTATCAAGGAGAATTAGCTCATTAGACACACATTCTACATGAACTGAGTATCAAGGAGAATTAGCTCATTACACACATTCTACATGAACTGAGTATCAAGGAGAATTAGCTCATTAGACACACATTCTACATGAACTGAGTATCAAGGAGAATTAGCTCATTAGACACACATTGTACATGAACTGAGTATCAAGGAGAATTAGCTCATTAGACACACATTGTACATGAACTGAGAATCAAGGAGAATTAGCTCATTACGCACATCCTACATGAACTGAGTATCAAGGAGAATTAGCTCATTAGACACACATCCTACATGAACTGAGTATCAAGGAGAATTAGCTCATTAGACACACATTCTACATGAACTGAGTATCAAGGAGAATTAGCTCATTAGACACACATTCTACATAAACTGAGTATCAAGGAGAATTAGCTCATTAGACACACATTGTACATGAACTGAGTATCAAGGAGAATTAGCTCATTACACACATTGTACATGAACTGAGTATCAAGGAGAATTAGCTCATTACACACATCCTACATGAACTGAGTATCAGGGAGAATTAGCTCATTAGACACACATTCTACATGAACTGAGTATCAAGGAGAATTAGCTCATTACACACATTCTACATGGACTGAGTATCAAGGAGAATTAGCTCATTAGACACACATTGTACATGAACTGAGTATCAAGGAGAATTAGCTCATTAGACACACATTCTACATGAACTGAGTATCAAGGAGAATTAGCTCATTAGACACACATTGTACATGAACTGAGTATCAAGGAGAATTAGCTCATTAGACACACATTGTACATGAACTGAGAATCAAGGAGAATTAGCTCATTACGCACATCCTACATGAACTGAGTATCAAGGAGAATTAGCTCATTAGACACACATCCTACATGAACTGAGTATCAAGGAGAATTAGCTCATTAGACACACATTCTACATGAACTGAGTATCAAGGAGAATTAGCTCATTAGACACACATTCTACATGAACTGAGTATCAAGGAGAATTAGCTCATTAGACACACATTCTACATGAACTGAGTATCAAGGAGAATTAGCTCATTACACACATCCTACATGAACTGAGTATCAAGGAGAATTAGCTCATTAGACACACATTCTACATGAACTGAGTATCAAGGAGAATTAGCTCATTAGACACACATTCTACATGAACAGAGTATCAAGGAGAATTAGCTCATTACACACATTCTACATGGACTGAGTATCAAGGAGAATTAGCTCATTAGACACACATTGTACATGAACTGAGTATCAAGAAGAATTAGCTCATTAGACACACATTCTACATGAACTGAGTATCAAGGAGAATTAGCTCATTAGACACACATTGTACATGAACTGAGTATCAAGGAGAATTAGCTCATTAGACACACATTCTACAGGAACAGAGTATCAAGGAGAATTAGCTCATTAGACACACATTCTACATGAACTGAGTATCAAGGAGAATTAGCTCATTAGACACATCCTACATGAACTGAGTATCAAGGAGAATTAGCTCATTAGACACATCCTACATGAACTGAGTATCAAGGAGAATTAGCTCATTAGACACATCCTACATGAACTGAGTATCAAGGAGAATTAGCTCATTAGACACATCCTACATGAACTGAGTATCAAGGAGAATTAGCTCATTAGACACACATTCTACATGAACTGAGTATCAAGGAGAATTAGCTCATTACACACATTCTACATGGACTGAGTATCAAGGAGAATTAGCTCATTAACAGCATCCTGTCCCAAAAGCTGAGGTATTGTGGACT